GCAGGCTTTTTAAAGGGCATTCCTTCTTCTCTTCTCTTACTGTAGGAGGAACCTTCTTTCACATATTACCTGGTTTTGTCACCAAGTGTACTTTCAACCAGGAGGAAGTGCATCCAAGTTTTAGCTTGTACACTTAAAAACGTGCAAGAAGTACATCAGAGCAAATGTATGCAGAGTGATCTGGTCCATTCGCTCCCAAGTGGAAATACAAACAAATCGAGCAAATCAGGCGGAATATACGGAGCCACTGTACAAAAGTAGTAAAGGGCAGGGGCCGTAGCTCTTTGTGAGAGGCCATCCTGAAGACCCCAGGTTCAATCCCCAGCATCTCTGGGTAGGGCCAGGGGAGAATTCTGCCTGAAAGCCTGAAGCACTATGGCCAGACAGTTTCAACAGTGATGGGCTGACACTGTGATTTGCTAGCTACTCAAGCAATCCTCCCTTGCCACTTCTGGAGAAGAGAAGAAGCCATGCGGGCAAGAGAAATAGGCAAAGGAAGCCAGCAAATGACCAACACACTCTTGGTAGTTAACAAGCCTGGAAATGTGTGAATGGGTCAATGCAAGGCAGATTCCTCAAGTGTGTGGACAAGAAAGAAGCCCAAGGATAACACAGAAATGAGGTCTAGCAGGAATGTGGCCAACTGGAGGAGGCAGTTACAGTTCATATGCAAATATAGCTCCAACACCAACAAACAAACAAAGGGCAAAATAAATAGATGCAAGCCAAACCGACAGCAAAGCTCAGAATATTCACAGTCATCAGCTAAAGGGTGTTAAAGCGTAATTGTATTAAGAAGCAGGCCCCGATGTTTGCCATGCTGACAGTCAATGGGGAGAGCTAACGTTTGCTGCACGGTAAATTATCCCCAATTACATTTACCAGAGTTGCTCCCTAATTATACATATAAACAAAATAATGCACAGCAACCCTAAAGTAATTCAATCATTTCCTTTGCACATTAGTATCATTCTGGCACTGGAAGAAGCCAAGCTTCCTTTTACCATTTCTGATTAGTTTTCACTAGGACAATGAAAAATCATTCTTGGCAGTCCCTTGCTGCATTTATTGTGAAGCTCTATCACCCTGGAACACGAAGGTTTCAAACCAGCCTTCCCCAGACTGATCCCTTCCAGGTGTGTTGGAACTACTATTCTCAACCTCTCTGCTCAGCAGGCTGGGGTGATAGGAGCTGTACTCCCAAGACACTTAGGGGGAGAAGGCTGCTGTAAACCATTGAGAAACTGGTTTTCTATCCAAACCAGAACAAGATTTTCCAAATCCTGAAGCAAAGCCCTCACATTCTTAGTTAATTGTAGTTAAAGTTCTCCGCAGAGCTCCGTTTCTGAAGGCTGAGAACCTTCCTCCTTCTGCCCACACACCACCTAACCCATTCAGATGCTGAATGTCGCAGACACAACCAAATGTGGACAACTCAACACACTTACTATGTACTGGGCAGCTCATGCACACAAGCTTCATGATCTGCACGGCAGTTCACTGTGCCAACTTACATATGAAAACTCCGTCAACAGCATCCTGTTGCTCCGAACTCAGGACAATCAAAGACACCAAGAAGGGAAAGTCATTTCAAAATCAAATGGAAATGTGAGTCAACTGTAGCTTTTCATTCCATTTTCAGAGGCCAAACATGCAAATGCTGTTAATTTCAAGCCTGTTACACAATGCGGTGAACAGTGAAGAGTATGAACTGCAAGTCAGAATGTCCCAGATTCACATATCAGCTGAGACACCAACTCACAAACAAGTCTTAGGCACCTCTCTATTCCCAGCCTCCCAACTGCAATAGAGGGGGAATAATAATAGCTCGCCCCAAGGATTCATGCAAAAATGCCTATAAAGAGCTCTGAACACTTGAAATGCACTATATCAAAATGCAGGGAATAATATCACTATTGTCATTGTTGCTATTCACTTCATGTGTACTATTTCGGAAAGCAGCTGCCAGGGACAAAGTATCATGTAATTTCTAAAAGCCCTCTGCATGTGTAAATGGTGGCTTTTGCCAAAAAGCACCTCTGGAAGAAGGTCCCAGTTGCTACTCACTTGTATATTGTGCCTAAACACTACCATTTATTTACACACAAGTGCTCTTTGTAAGGCACATATATTTGTAGATTTGGGAAGCAGTTGCTGAAGACAAAATGCAGTTTATGGAAAGGTCCTTAAACACTGTTGGGAGTGCTACTCCTCTAAGCTACACTGAGCTCTAATGCATTAGAAGCAATGCTGCTTCCTAAGAAAATGAGTCTCACAAATAAAACAGACTTTTTATTGAAAGTAGGCAGCGCTTTCACTCATCTCTCATCTTACAGACCAAACAAGATGCGTTTTTTTTTTTTTAAACCACTGATGAGACATAAGAATTTAACTGCCTCGTAAGACAGGAACTTTTGCAAACAAAATTATTTTGGGCACAGGAAGATTCTCTCCCTTAAATGACAGAGGGAAATTTGACTATTGAAGTGCTTTTGTTCTCTTTTTTTCAAGCCTTCACAATGGACCCAGGATCCAGCATTTAGCATTTTCACTGGAAGCCTCTATCCCTACTGATTTCTCAGCGGCTGTCAAGAGACCTGCACAGCCCTGAAGCAGCAGCCCTGGGGCTCTTTGCACATCACCTGGAACATGGATAGGGTAGACCTTTCACCAGTACCAACTCCAGTATATGGGGCCCTGGCCCACTGAACCCCAAAGAGGCACAGCTCCCAGAATTCCTTCATGCTATTCATAACTTCTTCAGGCTTTCTTAGCTTGAAGCACTACTGGGGTGGTGGGCCATTTGCCATTCTTGGGTCTTTCTCAAGACATTTCCTTGGGTCTCTCCTCCCCCCGTCCCATGACACTCAGGTACTTAGTGCTAGGTAGGAAAGATAGACTCCATCCCTCACCTCCTGAGACTGGAACAAGGAAGAGTCAGCTGCGTTTTGCTGTCTCTCACTGTCTCTTCGCATCTGCAAAGCTCAGTATGGTGACAGATGGATTCCCTCCTCTGAAATATTTGTGTGTATGAGAGGAGAGGGCTACCACAAATAATGGCTGGCTAACAAGGTCAGCCAAAATGTTTATACCCCCAGAGAAGCTTTATCTGCCAACGTTGATGTCACTGTGTGGTTTTTAAATTATTATTATTATTTTTTAAAAAAGATCCGGTAATGATTTGTCCCCTAGTACTACCTTTCCCATCATCTACCTGTTTTCCTTTTAAAAGAGGAAAATAGTGTTGCTTTCACCTCATTCAGTTTTGCCACATTGCAAAGTTCAACCCTCCATACACCAAGTCAGGAGAGATAGGTGCACCACTATATAAATGAAACAGCACTACAGGTTTACTTTCCATATAAAAAACAAACAAAACAAATTCCCTGGGCACAAAACCATATTCATAGGCAGCCATGTATATAGCATTTTTCCAAGAGCTTAAAAAAACCCTTCACACACATTACTTTATTGATTGTATATTTTTTTAAAATCCAATATCCAAAGTTAGGGATTCAACTAAATCAACAGCTTATCCTATACTCAATCATACCGGCTACCCACCTGCTACAGTAAGCAAGAGTACAGGTGTGCTGGACAACAGGAAGGACAATTTCTGCCTGAGACTGTACAGTTAAAATGAAGAGTGTTCGGGGTAATGAAGAGGGGAAAGAAGGAGAGCTCTATGAAACTCTGGTACTCAAAAGAAAATTCCTGGGCTTAGAATTCTTTATTCTAAGTCTATGTCTTTCGCACTGCACTCCTGTTGCAATATCTCAGGGAAGTCAAAAGAATGCCAGTGTAGACCTGCACGCCTAAATTCTAGCCATCCCAGGCTTTTAGGATGTCAGAGCAAGAATGTGCAGTGACCGCACAACCGCACCAAAAGAACCCGAACCTGTTAGCACATACCACTCGAACCCGGTTCAGGAGAACTGCAGCAAAAAGCTCAGAATGTTGTTTGGCCAGTACCACAAAGTCAATTATTTTATCATCAGCATTTCCCCCCAAATCCTTGCTTCTAGATTTTTTTTTTTTTTAGAACAGGTGTAAAAAGTGATAAAAACTACATCTGGAGCCAAGCTTTTTTTAAAAAAAAGAAAACAAAACAGCAAGCCACACTGGCTCAGACAGTTCTTTCCCCAGAATCCAATTAAATAGCACACCTCTCCAGAATAGCACAATATTCCCACACATGAGCAATGCTGCTAATATAACAGTCACTGTAAACTGTAATGCCTCACAAACGGAGGGGGAAAGCGTACAACAAATCGATTAAGGGAGAGAGAGAGTCAACAGAGGTATCATGCATAAGCCAAAATAACTTCATTTCCCAAGACCCAGCACAGAATAATTGACAACCCATCACAATCCGGCTTAATACAAACGTGCATCACAATTTACACATTTTTAGCAAGTGGCGGAAAACCAAGCCATTAACTCTTATGCTAGAAAAACAAATAAAAAACCTAACTAACCAAAACACGGCTATCACTCCCAGAGCCATAAAGTCATTTTTATTCTGCCCTATCACAGAACACATCACAACCTGGAAGACAAATGACAAATATAACTCTTTAACTTTTCTAAGAACGATGGGCTGTGGGGACGGAGAGGTGCTTTAATTTCAGACTTAAATAAGCCACCATTTCTAAAGGCTCAGCTGTCCCATTCAAATATGCCACATCTGTAAGAGCGATTTGGTTGACACCGACACATGCAGAAAAACACCTTGTCAACAAGGGCTACTAGTTCCAGTAAATGTGCCACCTCCACTGTGCAGCTGACAATCAAAACTTCGCGGTTCGTTCTGCCAAGCATCTTGCTCCATTTGCCTTACACAATTCCTGCTTTATCTCAGATCCACATACAAACATTGCAGAGCAGCACGTCTGCGAAGCTGAGCAATCCTCGTTGACATTCGCTCTGCCCGCCCCCCACTGCCCTTATCGGCATCCCCACATTTCAAAAGTTTGGTTTCTTGGTTTGTTTCCCCATACCTGCAGTTAGGAGGTGGATCCAGGGTTATTTCCGCTAGCTCCTTCTGAATTCTGTTGGCAAAATGAGAACAGACACAAAGCATTTGAGATAGTCTACGGAATAAATCAGGGAATTACACTGCCCTCTACCACCATGCAGTTAAATGCAAGATTGGTTTTGCCTTCAGTAATGCTAACATGGCTGCTTCCTCTTTGTTCTCAGAGGCATAACCCAAATCCCATAACGGAGAAACTTTGCAGCTTTTTTTCTTCCTTGTTACGGTAAATAGGCAGAGCATTTACACCTCAGCCTGGTAGGAATTCACAGAGACTCCTCAGAAAAGTGAGTCTGAGGGATTTCCAGCCACTTTATATAAGAGAATTTTTCTTTTTAATCTTATATGCAAATGATACCAGGAAGGGAGGGGAGGGAAGGAGGAAATGCACACACATTTGAGAATGAGTTTCAACCAACATTACTGGAATTCTAGCCAAGGCAGCTTACATAGTAAATAAGGACACTTTTTTTAGCACAGGGCTTTACCTGCTGCTGATAGTGCATTTTAGCATTTCAATCAACTTGGTAAATATGCAATCAGGTGACTAGAGCTAAATCTAGCTGCAACTTAAGGGTGGGGGGGAGGTTCCTACTTGCACTTTCCTTTCCCCACAAAACATTTCTTTACTTCACTGGAGGACTCATAGAACAAAATAAATGCTAATATAGCAATAGATGATCTCTGGACAACAGTTATAAAGCTGTTAGGATCCAAAGAAAAAATGTTCCTATCAGTTTTATCATAGTTTAACAGAACTCATTGAAAAAAATGTAGGCTTTGTCATTCAGTTCAGTGAACAAAATATTATTTGTGGCTCATTTTAAAAATTTCAGGCAATTTAAGTTTTGCCAGAAGCAGAGCCATGACAATGACAAATGGTCTAGATGTAATTTTGGTATTCTGGATTTGCACCTTACAAGATTTTACAGAAGGCATCAAAGTCAAACTCTGCACAGGGCTAGGATTTTATAGGAACAAGCGTTATATTAAGAGAAGCACTCAATGAATCTTTGAATCAGCAGCAAACATACTGCATAAATACTTCATGCTCTGCTAGCAAAAGTGGCCTTAAATACACCAAAAGTTACCCTCAAAACAGAGAAGAAAAAGATCCTCTTGCTTCGCCCAATTCAAATATCTATTATAAGCACTTCTATTTCCAGCCATTGTTCAATATACAATTTTCAACTTAAACGGAGCAGATGGTAAGAGCTAGCATTGCCCCCCCAATCTTTTTAGGACTTAACCTGCAATGCAAAACTGCAGAAGTCCTAGCAAATGTGTAAAATAGCAAAGCTGCAGATTCCTCCAGCCGGCACCCCAAACATGCAGGGCCCACTTTAAAGTCAATGTGAAAGCTGCCACTGCTTTTAACAAAACTGTATAGGCCACTTAAACATCTTTGATGCCATTTGTCAGATGTGCTATTGGATAATGTAATGTGGATTCCCAGCTAAAAGTGAGTCCTTGCTAAAAGTGAACTTCAGGGAAAGGATTATTCAGTTATCTCCAAAGAAGCACAGATCAAGGCTTTTAAAGTTTGCCCAATTCAGATGGCTGTTAAGGGAAATTAGCAGCATTTGTGCATCTTGAAAGCCAAACTGTCAGAAAATGAATACACAGACCCTAATGATGATTACATAAGTATCTCAAGTTTTTGAAACTTTCAGGATAAAAGGACAATTACTAGCCTAGTCTTACTGAGGCGAAAGACACTCAAGTAAACATCCCCACATGAATTTCAACTACATATAAAATCTTTCCATGTACGCATGAACTTAAACTGACATTTAGTGAAAAGTAGGCACTTTTTCCTTTGGAAAAGGGAGTACCCCCAAAAGTCATATTTCTTGTGAAAGTTATTCTTCTACAGCATTCAGTGAAAATCAGCCAAAAATACAGCTTAAAAAACAGATCCTGCAATTTCCCTCCCTGCCACCCCAGGAACACAGCTAAACAATTTATCTCCAAGCGAGAACACACTACATCACTCAGGTGAGCCGCCTGGGCCAACGTGAGCAAGCCAGAGTCCACCACATGGCAAAGCAGCCATGCAACTTGCTTTCCCAGCTTCCCATTTTAAACACATGCCAATTCAGCACTGCATCATCATCCTCATCACCAGCAGTTCAACTCAACTGCTCACCATCTGGCACCAAACTGTGTCTGGATCCAGCCAACTCACAACATCAGCATGTTGGCTTTGCTGTGTGAACTGGTCTCACAGCAGAAGACATAGGAATGCATGGATTTTACTACTAAGGCTGTCTCCTAATATGGGTCCTGTCATTCCCATCAGTGTATGTCTCAAACTGTTCAACTTTATAATAAACGCCCACCCCATGAACAGACTCCTCGTGCCCCCTCCCCAAATAAAATCTATCCTTTTTGAGGGGAGCTGTTACCTTTTAGCACTAGTGGATAGTTTAGCAGTAGTTTTGCTGGAGAGTTTGGTATTTTTCTTTTGCTGGGTTGCAGAAGGCTTTCTTTCTTCTTGCTCTTCGGGTTCAGGTGCTGGTGGGTCCCTCTGATCTGCATCTGAACTACCACTGCTGGTACTTGGGCTTTCGTCATCTGACCTTTGTCTGTCACTGGACATCTTGGAAAACTTTTGGGGAAGGAACAAAAGTAAAGAAAAGAAAGTGGGACAAAGTCAGTCAGTTCACTTAGTGAAGTACTATCAACTCAAGTGTCCTAACCAGTACTCCTAAGACTGGACATGATGGTTTAAAGGGGGGGGGATGGAGTGGCTGAAATATCTTTTCAGGTTCCAGTGCAAGAATTCCAATGTTTAAAGATTACTATTTTAAAAGAAGAAGGCCGAGGGGGAATCCCATTTTAATAAGAATTCCGCCCCTTATATTGAATTCATGTCTCCCCCCACACACACCGCAATCTCTTCAGACAGTACGTCAATCGTCTACTTTGTTCGAAGGCATGAGGCAGTTTTAGCCTAGTACTCCAGCAACCAGCATTAATAACTTATGACACGTTGTAAATAGCACAGATTTCGTCCCCTAACACCACCCAAATGATTATTTTTTGGAAGTCACTAATACTCTGTAAATATTTACACATGAGCAGAAGGGGTCACGCCATCCACATCTACCCCTTTTCTCCACCCACCCCCCGCACAAACAATATATTGCGAGTAACAATACTTGCGCTGCTATACAAATTGGGAGGCCAAAACAGAAATGACCCACTCCTTCTTGCCTCCCCGTATATTTAAAGAGCTAGCAAGGCTTTGCTCTTCCCAGACTCAAAACGTTTTTCTCTCAATCACGAAATCAGCGAGCTCCGGGGTAGTATTTACACGGCCAGCAGCAAGAGCTGCATTTGATCGCCACCGAGCAGGCTGGACAAGGGGGAACCGGGGTTGCACGGGGTGGGGTGGGGGAAAGAAGAAGCATAATTCAAACTGCACCTTCTGGAAAGCTTTCAACGCCACCGAGTCCTGATCAGTTTCTACAAAACAGACCGACATTTTTTTCCTGCCCCCTCTTAAAAAAAATCCAGGAAGGATCAAACTGGGAGGGGGTTTTTAAATATCTGAATTCTATATTCTTTAAAAAGAAAAAAAAGATGATCCTCATAAGAAATTGCAGCAGCAGGGCAGAAATTGCAGCTCTGCCCCCCTCTCTCTCCCTCTCTCCCTCTCACACACACACAGAGTCGTTGTCGTCGTCGCCGTCCCCCCCCCGCCACCCCCTTCTCCTCCTCCTCTTTTTTCTCTTCCTCCTCCTCCTCCTCCCCTCTTGGCTTTGTAGGGAGAGGCGAGCTCCCAGCCAGGAGAGGGTATGGAGGGGCTGTTATGGTCGCAAGCTTTTCACCACGATCAGTGTGGTGTGTGTGCACCAAGTGAGGCGTGAACTCAGTCCCGGCTCCTCTGGCCACCGCCAGGCAGCAAACGCTGAAAACAAGAACAAAGCTCCTTCCACCAATCTCTCTTTCTCCCCCTCTTCTCTCAATCCCTCTCTCCCTCCTCCTATCTCCTCCTCCCCCCCCCCGCCACCATGCTCGCCCAGGTTCCTGCTGCAGCCACCTAACCCGTTTCTTCTTTACCTTCGCAGGCGTCCTGTCCCGATGTTTAGATCGGAGGGGAGGGATGGAGGGGGGGAGGGAAGGGGATGAAACGTCCTTGGAGGGGATGGAAGCAGCCGGGGGGAAATAAAGCAGCAGAGGAGGCTCTGTGGCCGGGCAGTGTGGAACATTGAGAGTCGGAGCGGGGGGGTTGGGTGGGGGTGGGGGGAGAGCGAGTGAGAAAGGGGAGGTGCAGTGCTGCTCGATGGCCGGAGGGTGGCGCTGCCGAGGGCGCCTTTTATATATATATTTATATATATATCCTCCTCCGCCTCCAAGCGAGCTCCCGCGGCGGGGTGAGGGGGGGGTTAACGTAGAGCGGGTGGGGGAAGCTCTCGTCCCCGAGAAGCCGACCGGATGGAACGAAGGGAAAATCGAACGTTCTACTGCCTCCGCCCCCTTGTGTCTGTACGTTCAGCTTCAGAACGTTGCAGTCAGCAAAGTTCCAAACCGGGGGGGGGGGGCGGCAGGGAAGGGGACGGCATTCGTTCCCTTTACTCGGCTGGCAGAGCGCGCCCCCCTGTGGGCTGGGGCGCGCGCACGCGCTCTCTTTACCTTTGCAGGGTGCATGCTTTCCCCGGTGCTACTGGCCAAGGACAAAGAGTTTGTGCCCGCGTAGACTTCAAGTTTGTACCCTGGTTCTTACTTAAGCAATGATTCCTGTACTTCACCAGCAAAACTATGAGTAGCCGGTGGCAGCAGCTACTGGCGCGGGCTGGAGGTGAGAGAAAGCCCGATGGTGGCGATGAGCAGTGAAATCGTGAATCTGCTGGTATGAGCTGACAGCTGTCTTGCAGTTGTGACGAGGCTGACTGGGGAGGAATCAGCTCAGCTAGTGTCCCTCTTAACATGCTCGTGTGTGTCTGTGTTATTGAGGGTGGCTCTGAGCCTGGAATGATGAGAGGTGTTAATACAGTTATCTGATCCTAGGAAAGCAATGTGTTGATGTGGGAAAAACTGACTGGCCCAACGTTCAGCAGAAAGCGAGCTCTGCACTCCACTACAACTCTCTCAGGCTTGACTTCTGTCCCAGTTCCACTCCATAGGATTTTAACCATTTTATCAACCAAAGTCCATGAAGCCACGCTAGGCAGGCTTCCCACCTTAAAATGTCAAAATGCCAAGAGACTGAAGTTGGTGAGATTTACCCCATGCTCCTTTCTGAAAATGCAGGTTTGAGGATTCAACAGTAAACAAAGAGAGGACCATTTAATAAAACTTCATCACTATTGCTGATGGACAGCCTGATTCATCCAGCCACAGGCCCAGCAAGTTCTACCTGCATGGAGAATACTTCCTCCTCCTCCATCTATACTTAACATGCTCCCACAAAACATTCTCCCAGAAATAACATTCAAACCCAGGGTGAACCTGTGAAGCTGATCAGTGGGAGGTTTAGGACAGATAAACTGCATACACCAGTTGCTGAACAGCTTGGGCAGGCAGATGTGTTATACTCGTCCTGTTTGTTTGATCCTGTGGGCAACTGGTTTGCCATTGTGTGTGTAGAGTGCTAGACTAGATGGACCTCGGTCTGATCCTGCATGGCTTCTTTTATGTTCTTATGTAAGCACATGTTTCCACCACATCCATTGGAATGAAGCCATTATCTCAGAAAAACACAACTTCCCACTCCCCTGCTGCTTGTATCCACCCCTCCTTCCTCCAAAGCATTGCATTCTCCCAGCTTCACCCAAGAAACTTCTAGAGTGTAGCTATGAAAGTAATAGCAGAATGCAAAAAGGCAGGGTCCAAATCAAACCAAATCAGTCAATAAATGAACTTCACAGAGAAGATCTTCCACATGTGATCCAGGTGCCAAAAGTGGCAGATGACAGAAGTTCATGGCACTAGTTCTAGATAGGAGCAGGTGGGCCCTGGTGCCAGCTTGTTGCCTCTAGAGATAGACCTTCACTCTTCCTGCTTCTCCTTTAGTAAACTTTAGCAGCAAAATTACAGAAGGAGCACCGAAGTGGAAGCCTGACTGGTGTTATATAAAGAACTCTGGATTCAACTTGGCCAACCACAAATTCAAACTGTGGTTGAACACAGTGTTGAAGTGGCAGCAAAAAAATTACACTGATTGATGCTGCTTGCATCTCTGGACTTCAGGTTATTGTCAGATTCAGCCTTTTACCCAGTTCATAGCCAGTCCACCCCACATCCCCAAAGCTAGAGGTCTGGACATGTAATAATTCCTTTCCAATCTCACACTCATATGTTCATCTTCCCATCTGTCCTGCCTTTTCTCTCCCTACTACAAGCAGTTTTCCCATTCTGCCCTCTTATTCTTCAGGGACTGATGTTTCTAACTAAGTGGTTGCCTTTGTGCAACATCCAGACAGAGGAAAGAGCTCCCAAAGTTACATCTGAGAGATGCAAGGTACTCATATTCCCCCCCCCCCCGTCATGCTGTTGCAATTCTTCAAAGGTTTACAAGCAAGGATTAAGTTTCTAACATGTTGCTATCTACAGAAAACAACCCACCCCGCCACTGCCGCTGCCCATAAGAACAAGGATTTTAAGGTTCAGTTTGTTCATACTCCCAGGAGCTGTATTCAGTGCTGGCTCCAGGTTTTGCCAGACCCCTGGGCAAGGCACTTTCACAGACTGCAGCCCTCGTGAGTCTTCTCACCACCAGGGTCACCAGCTGCTATTGCTCCTCATCCTTTTTCTTAGCATTGCCACAGCTTGCGTGCTGGTCGGGCAGAGGACTGGTGCTCATGCAGGCAGGGCCCTCTCCTACTGCTCTTTCTCAGCACTTACTGTGCCAGTGAGAGTGGCAGGTGAACAAGCAGGTTCTCGGTGTGAAAAGGAAGAACATGTGTAGGAGACTCCTGAAAGTGGGCCCTCAGCTGGTGCCTGATCTTCATTCCAGCCCTGGCTGTATTTCATAAAGGGGGTGATACAAGGGATTAGTAGTTCCATGCTCTCCACCAGACTGTTGAATGTTCAGTGTGAACCAAAGCATACTCCTACATATTTATAGAGCCCTTATACACAACCCATCTGCTTCTTTTCCTTTTCTTTTAAACTTGGGAATGGCCCACAAATACACATATTTAGGTCTCAGTTCACAGTAGCCATTCGACATGTGGATTGGAAAGTGATGTTACAAACAGTGCTGTGCTGAAAATTTCTCCCCCATTCTCTCCAATAATTCTCATTCAATGTGACAGAAAAGAAACAGCTTTTGAAAGGATAATCAAAGGAGAGGGAAATTTCAGAGACATGGTCAGGGGTTGGCTCTGGGGGCATTTGGGCTTGATTTACAAAGCGCGGGGGGGCGGGGGGGAATGTGCATGTGTGTCCTTTGCTTCCTCCTGCAATCGTCTCCCCAGCAACCTGAAGCCGCCTCAGCTTCCCACATTTCAATTAAAGCCCAAGGGAAACCATCATGAGGTAGGCCTCCCATAGAGCCTTTTCAGATTCAGAAGCGTAGGCAGCCTGGAAAGTTGCAGAGCAATGGAGTGCAATGCAAAAGAAAGCACATACAGCACCCCTGACCAGCTTGGGTAAGCTGACAAACATGAGCAAAATGAATTCAGAATAAATTGTAAAGTACCCCAAGAAAGAAGCCCAGGAAAGGGCTGGTGAGAAGAGCCCTGATAGGAAGGAGGCCGTCGCCAGTCTGCTGGTGCAGCTGCGTCCAGGGCTGGAGGGCAGGGCCAACCACTGCCGGAGCCCTGTTTGGAGGGCCTGCGCCAAGGGCAGTGGCCAAAGAGCAAGTGCCCATTTGGTGCCGGTTGGGGCAGGTCCAGGCTTTGGGTTTTGTGTGTGTGTTTGTACTGTTGCTGCTGTAACTTTGGATTTGGTTATTTCCTGTCCTATTTTGTGTCATTGTGTTTATTCCACTGTGCCAACTTTTTATTTTATTATTCTGAATTGATTTTAGATGATGCTGAGGAACCCTGGGGAGCATGGGGGTGCCCTACTAGTGTGGTCATGGATAGGGGAGATATGACCCTCGGGATTAACCTGCCCAAAAAGGAGAAGAGGGGTTAGATGTTTAACTGCTGTTCCCTTCTGGTTTTGTCCCCAACCAGAAAAGTTCAGGCAATGGTATCAGCCTGCCCTCAGGCTTGGTGGTGCTACTTTTAAATGCCTTGTCAGTCCAGAATAAATTCTCAGTCATCCACAATCTGATTATGGATGGGGGGCCTGGCCTGGCCTGTAGCATGGAAATCTGGGTGGGGGAAAAAGGAAATGTCATTCTTTCCCAATTGTGCCCACTCAGGTGCAGGACCAGCCTCACCAAGGGGAACAGGGCAAAGGAGTAACCATTGCTCATGCAGTCCTTCTCTCAAGGCTTCCTGTGGACTTGACAGGTCTTGAGTGTTTGTACTTAGTGTTGGGCAATCAAGACAGACTGGGGATTCTGCTTGTGTACCATCCACCCTGCTGCACAACAGACTCCCTAACTGAGCTGACAGAGATGGTCTTGGACCTGGTGTTGAGGACCTCCAGAATAGTAGTTCTGGGAGACCAATAGTAGTTCTGGGAGACCATCTGAGGGGATGGTGTAACGTGGTGTCCTGCAACAGCAGGGGGTTGGACTCGATAGTCTTCATGGCCCCTT